AGACTAGTGTTCTAAATTGCCTACGCTTAGGGCCACCTTTTTAAAGTCCTTAAACCTCACTCGTCATTTTAAAGAACATTTCAAAATCGAGAAGCGTGCTTAGTGCCCATAAACTTTTGATTAGAGCTGGAGTTCAACATTCTACAAACTTTTATTCTCCAAAATATTTAATCAGCTCGAAAAGGAATTGAATATTCTGAATTCAGATATAAGCTCTAAAATGGAAATATGCACCGTTCAAATTTGATTTCTGTGACTAAGAATGTCTATTTTAATAGTAGCTGGACTGACTAAGATGCTCTGATGATGACTTTGAAGTTTATTCAGAATATTCTTTAAAAATACCAACTAGATGCTTAAATTTTAAAAAGTCAAGGCTTTAACATTCAAGATTAATTTTGAGGAGTTTACAACTGTATTGAGTTTCTAGAATGTACTCTAGGGGATCGAGCCATAAAAAGAAGAATCTGTAAATATTAAAATTAAGGCAGAGCAGTTAGGCAACAGACCAGAAATTTGGTTCTTACTTTTTGAGAGATCTGGATTCGATTCTTAACTGGAACCGATTTTTAAGTATTACATAAAACAGTGATAAATAGTGTGCCGCAAAAAACTCGACAAAGCCCACGAACCGTGTGTTGTGTGCCATGGCTTACCACCTAAGTGTGTCGTGGTACCAAAAAAAGGTTGACCACCACTGCCATAAAGTAGTGTTGTTGAAATGACAAGGGATCTAAAATGCTCACGACAAAAAATCTCAACAAAGCCTATCATTAAGCTTGACAAAGCTTATAGAAATAAGTATTTTTCCACCAAAATTTCTCTTTCAAGGTCCATACACTGTAATGAACTTTGAATTTATTTACTCAACTAATTAGCCTAGAATGCCTCTACTGTTTACTATCCACTGATAAAATTCCATTATTTCCCTTTCTATGGACAACAAAAGAAAAAAAGTACACAACTATAAAAATTTCGCCTCATTAAAAAAAGCTGAGCTCAAAATATGAAGCAAAAAAGTTATTAGAAGTCATTTGAAATTGGTAGCGTGCGCGGTGCTGCCTTCTATTTTTTATTGTGTATATTTTTCGTCTATTTTTATTTCTCATCTATTGACACTTTCTCTCTAAACATATTTGTAAGATATACTTTTCTTTATGACAAATAAAATTTGTACGACAACTGCGTAGATCCAAATCGGAGAGTAAATATTAATAAAATATAGTTTTTTTGGCAACAAGATGAAAATGAATCGTTTCCCATTTCTTTACTTCCATTCAGAGTTTCATTTAAATAATCAAATATTGCACCTTATTTAAGTTATTCAACATATTCTCATCTGGCAACACAGACCGGAATGTGTCTTAAACAAATATGAAGATCGTCGTGCCTACCCGAATCAATTGTTTGAATAACAATATTAAGGATGAGTCATCCACGCTTCTTCTTCAACTTCTTTCATCTCTTTCTTCTTTCTGCTGTTCGCTTTCATAATTCTTCGATCTTTTGCTTCTTTTCTGCTGGTTTTTATGTAAAATGGGAAAATTTTGACGCATGTCTGGGTTTTTTCAGGGTTCTGTTGTTTTAAATTGTGGATCAACTACAAACATGCTTTTAACACTAAGGGGTCGTTCACTTATGACGTCCATCAAAAAACCTGATTTTTAAACCTCCCTCCCCCCTCTGTCTTAAAAATTCTTTAGAAAAAATTTTCCATTGTTTGAACTGTCACAAAATCCTAGACCCCCCCTCCCTAAATGTCGGACTTCATAAGTGAACGGCCCCTAAGGGATGCAAAAAATGAAGTTTATATCGATTGCACTACATTTTGTTGCAAGTGGGAATTGAACCTATGTTTTTAAGTTTTATGTCGAAAACTTTAAGTATTGATCTATCGAGAATTATTAATAAGTTTTGCAGAACATCCAGTTAAACTTTTTTGGTCTAAGTCGGGGTTGCGATACAGGCACCTGTGCACAGGTGAGAACCGTACAATTCCTTGATAATTTATAAGAATCCAGAACTAACAGATGTAAACGAAATCGTGAGCATCATAAGAAATCTGAAAAATCCAAAAGCTCCGGGACTAGATGAAGTCAACAACATACTCATCAAAAATCTTCCTGAAAAAGGTTTCGAATACTTGAAATTCATCATCAATTCGTGTCTGAAACTCAACCACTTCCCCAAAGTTTGGAAACATGCAAAAGTGATTCCTATTCCAAAACCTGGAAAACCAGCAAATGAGCTAAGCAGCTACAGGCCAATAAGTCTACTCAGCTCAATAAGCAAAATACTGGAGAGAGTATTACTGAACAGAATCAACGATCATCTTGAGGATAACAACATCATCCCAAACCAGCAGTGCGGCTTCCGGACTGGAAGATCAACATCTCACCAGCTCATCAAAGTGATCAAATCAGCAAAAGAAAACTTAAACAACACAAAGTCAACAGGCATGATCTTCCTGGATGTAGAAAAAGCATTTGACAGAGTCTGGCATAACGGACTCTTGTACAAAATGCTCAAACTGAGATTTCCACTGCCACTTATAAAAACTGTAAGATCTTTCCTCAGTGAAAGATCTTTCGCAGTTTTTATTAAAGGTCAGTTCTCAGAAATCAAGGTAATCAAATTCGGAGTGCCACAAGGAGCAGTGCTTTCACCAACTCTCTACAACATCTTCACGTATGATGTTGTAAGAGAGACAACCAACAACATCGGTCTTTTCGCAGATGATACAGCACTGTATCATTCTGCAGAGAACTCGGCCGATATTGTGACACATCTACAGCACACAGGAAGAAAAGTTCAACAATACATGAACAAATGGAAGATCAACCTCAACAAACAGAAGACTCAAGCCTTATTCATCACAAACAGGCACTCCAGGCAACTACCAGGAAATAACATCAAATTTCTCAACGAAAACATCAAATGGGAAACAGAAGCTAAATATCTGGGAATGGTGATCGACAAGAGAGTGACATTAAAGCCGCATGTGGAGTATGTGACCAATAGGGCTCACACCGCATTAAGACAGCTTTATCCGCTCATCAGCAGGAACTCACAACTCGACGTACGAAACAAACTTCTCATCTACAAGCTAGCCATCAGACCAATATTCACATATGGTTGTCCAGCGTTTGGAAGCATGGCAAAAACCCATCTTCAAAAACTTCAAGTACTGCAAAACAAATTCTTGAGAATTGTTCTCAATAAAACAAGATATGAAAGGATCACCGATCTTCATACAGAAGCGAAAATACCGTCCATCGAAGACTACGTCGGAAAGTTGCAAGCGAACTTCAACAGTCGTCTTGCATCTCAAAACTCCGAATAAATCAAATGAAATACAAAAGAAAGTAAAATCCGTAAATGAAATCAAAAATTAAGAGACAAAAGGCAAATTGAATGCCTGAAACCTTAAAAACAAAAAGCAACAAAATGTATAGAAACTTTGTACATACTTAAATTTAAATGTAAATAAATAAAAAGTTTAATTTAAAAAAAAAAAAAAAAAAAAAAAATGATAATTTATAAGGTTTTTCTAACATAACCTCACAAATTATCAAGGAATTGAACGGTTCACACCTGTGCACAGGTGCCTGTTTCGCAACCCTGGTCTAAGGATCAGTATTTGTGGTAGAATCAGTATCGTTTCGGATCTCTAAACTCAGCATAACTAATGATTTAGTCTTAATCAATAACCAAGCAAATGCGCTCTTAACACTTCTTTAAAAATAAGCAACCTCTACTTGTTCCATTCAATAAACATTCTTTCAATACATTGTATAACTTTTCTTTTGAACTTATCGTTTAGAACACCAAAAAGCTAGTCTTAGCAGCGATTACATAAAATATAAAAGATTTTCTTCATTACCATCACAGTGAGATTCCAAAGTGCGTTTAGATTAACTCACGATGGTAACAAATTCATGACATTATGTACATAAAGTGGAAATGTTTGATATGTATGAGAACATGAGAGGAAGATCCGATGATGATGATGCTTGTTAAGCATTATTTTTTATTTAAAAAGTGAGGCATAGAAAATTGATAGATTGATCAGTTGGCATGGATAGGGAATGAAGATGATGAATTGGAAAATTAAATTATGTAAATTACTCGTGTGTGCTTGAGATTCCCTTACTGCTCTTTTGTTATGTTATAGGCTTGAAATCTTAATTGAGCATTCAAGGTAGATGGACATGGTAGATTAAAATTATGTTAAGGGAATTAATTGTAGGGTTCGTGTTACAAATGACTGTTTGTTTGGATTTATTAATATTATCTGATGATGTATGTAATTTTTAAGGAAGTGATTATCAGCATTTGAGTGGGATATTGATGGTTTAATAAGTTGTTGGATGTAAAAAGACTTTTTATCATTTTTGAAAATCTTTTCAATATTTTTTGGGATTTTTGACATTTTTTTTTTGATTTTTTTATGAACAAATTTAATTTTATAGCAATGGATGACTAATGCATCCAAATCCTCTTCATCCTCAAGATCTGAATTCAACTAAAATCCAAGGGTCAGACACTCCAACAGAATTGTAAAGATTGTACAATTCTTCACAATTCATATGGAAGAATTGTAAAGATTGTACAATCCTTACAATCCTTACAATCTTTATATGAGAAGGATTGTAGGGATTGTATTCCGCACAATCCTTATATGGAAAGGATTGTAGGGATTGTAATTCTTACAATCCTTTGCATATAAGGATTGCAAGGATGAAATAATTGTATGGAACATTTAAAAATGTTTTTCATGGGTTATTAGAGAAGAAATATTAATTTAATATTAAAAATTTATTTGTTTGAATTTAAAGAACGAAATAAGCTTGATATATCAATTTTTTCCCTTATAACCAGGGTGATTTAAATCAAAAATCAAAATCAAAATCTTTTTGCAATGATTTTAAAAAAGAATTTTGATTTAAATCATTTTTTCATAGGGTCTTTTTTTTTGGATTTTGATTTAAATCTCTTGTATGAAAGATTTTATTAGGATTTTAAAATTCCTCAATGTAAGATTTTTGTTTTCAATTTCTCAAATTACTTTTCAAATCAACAGTTTTCAGTTGCAGTTCCTAATAAGTAAGAATGCAGTTGATCCTATTTTGGCCTGAATTTTGCAACTGGATCTTGTAAATCCAAATATTTCTTAAATAATGGTTACAGCAATGGTTCCATGCTGTTTGACTTAAACGAAATCCAATTCGTGATTTTTAATCTTCTGTGCCTTGCTGCTTGCATATAAATAACTGGACTTCATCAAGCAAGCCTGGATCTTAATTCATACGAGGATTTACCTGTTTTCAATGCTTTCAAAAACTTAAATATCTCTTATTACAGTACGTAAGTTTAATGAGTCATAAGCAAGAATAGGCACTTGAACTGCCTAGTTCCTTTACAAGGATTCATCAAGGGTTCACCTCTTGAAATCAAAATTTTTTTGTGGAAATGGCCGATTCCTTTCGTACATCAAAGCACAGAAGATTAAAAATCACGAATTGGATTTCGTTTAAGTCAAACAGCATGGAACCATTGGTTGATGTAACCTTTATTTAAGAAATGCTTGGATCTAAAAGATCCAGTTGCAAGATTCGGCCAAAAAATGATCAACTTCATTCTTACTTATTAGGAACTGCAACTGAAAACTGATAATTTGAAAAAAAATTGAGAAATTGAATGCAAAAATTTTACATTGGATTTTAAAATCCCAATTAAATCATCATACAATAGATTTAAATCAAAATCCCCAAAAAAATCCCCATACAAAAATGATTTAAATCAAAATCTCTTTTAAAAATTATACTTTTTAAAACTTTTTAATGAGTTGAAATGTATAAAAAATCATTCAAATTGATTCACAGTAAATTATTGCATTTTAAATATAATTGTTTTTAAAGAAATTTCTGACTTTCTTCATTTTTCGTATTTTATTTTATTTTTTAAAAATAAATGGACATTATTTTTTGTTTAGTAAGGATTGTACAATCCTTACAATCCTTATATAGAAAGATTGTAGGAATTGTACAATCCTTACAATCCTTATATGAAAAGGATTGTAGGGATTGTAAGGATTGTACAATCCTCACAATTCGTATGGAAGGATTGTAAGGATTGTACAATCCTTACAATTCTGTTGGAGTGTCTGACCCTTGCTAAAATCAACAAGTCTCAATGATCATTCACAAAATTGTTACAAATAAATTTTTTCATCTATCAAACACTCATAATCCACCTAATCACTTCCTCTTATACTTAAACTTCAGACAAATAGCCATAAAATTTCCATACAAACTGGATTCTTTCACTTACAATGTATTATTGAAAAATATTTAATGAATAAAGAGAGAAAAAAAAAGTTGTGAGCTTTTGTTGATCGATGAATTATTATGATGATGCCGATGTTCTGTAAACCTTCACTCGATTTGCTTTCTTGATTTAATAATAATAATAATGAGCTGGATTTTTAAGAAGGTTTGATAAGGTCAGTTTGTCTGGTTCTGAAAGGAACCGACTATAGAATGGAATATCGATTAGATATATTTTGAGGTATAAGCATAGTTTGACTGTGATAAGGTAACAGGATCAAATGCATTTTTAAAGATTAGCCACAGTTCTAGATTTTGTGTTCAACAACAACTTAATTTCGATTGTTTGATGAGTCTCAGTTTTGAACCCTTATTTTGAGTTCTGATATCATTTAGAGACAGAAGATTATTTTGGGCAAAGTTTTTCATTTTTGGCTTAGAATTTGTTGGCTCCAGTCTTAGAAGAACTTAGAATAAACCATAAGAAACCATTTTCGTTACTATCGATATTTATTTGATCATCCATTACAATTCATAACTAAGCAAGGCGTGGAAACTATCTCAAACACTCCATTTAACCCAAATATCCCAAAAATATCCAAAATAATCCATGAGCCATGCACGATAATAAAGATATCCTAACGAATCCTTAGTGTATTGGACATTTATTCTTGGGATTCGATGGGATATCTCAATTATAATGCATGCATGCTCAGGGATTGTTTTGGATATTTTTGAGAAATTTGGGATAAATGAGATATTTGGGATAATTTCCACGCCTTGTAATTAAGCTTTAATTTATCAGCACGAAAATTCTCAATTCAAGAAATATCCAGAAGTTAACTTAAAGTAAAGCATTTAAACTATGAAAATATTTGAGATAACTGAGGATAATTTGGGATAAAATGCATATATTCATAGTTTCCACATCTTGACTTAAAGTGTCCAGTACCTTAAAACATTTCAAAAATTATTTCAATCTTGATCACTGTTGTTTAATGCTACATTAAAACTGTTGATTTCTCCAATAAAAATCTTAAAATCTACAATAATAAACTTACAAAAATTTTGCGCCCGCGACAAGTTTCGAACTTGCGATCTTTACTTTGGGAGAGTAACACATTAGCCGACACGTTATACGACACACGGGCTTTTAATTAACATGGCAAAAATGGTTATATATAGTTCCTGGATTTAATCTGTTGGCAATTAAGTTAATCTGAAGTTTTTAAACTTTATTTAAATTATTAAGTTAACCACTTTACGACTATTGATTTTAGACTTTGAGTTCTTATGGTTTTTATTTTATTTTAACTATGACAAAACCTTTATTCGTTCAATAATTCACCAAAGATACATTTCTGAGCATATAAAGAACATTTAAATGCGCATCAACTTTCGATTCATTTATCAAACAATTACTCCAACTAGCATCTTCTTTAAATATTTTTCATCGTCTTCATACATCCAATTTTTTTCATCAATTTCGTGCATGAATAGATTTTTCAAAAAAAAGTATTCTTTTTTTTCAAGTAATAAAAACATTAATAATTTTGTTTTCTTTTCCTCAATAATAAAGGATCGGCTGACTTGCTTTGAGAATTGAGAATAAAGCTGTGTATACACACATCGAGGCAATCCCAGAATTTTATGATTTTTTTTTTCTTCTCTCTACAAAGTTAATTGAGTTCAACGTCTTAGTTTGTTGTAAGCATTCAAGACGAGCATTGTTGTACATAACTACACAACATTTTTTTTTTTAAAATAAATCGATTCGCGATGATGGAGATGATAACGAATACCGACGGAGATTCTAATATGGTTTCTAAGAAGCCCCCATTGCCACCAACAAAGTCAAAAATTCCATTTAAAATAGCTGCTGACAAGATAAAGTCACAGTGTCAGTGGAAGATCGATGAGGAGAATGCACAACAAATTCAAAAGTTGGGGGCAATGAATGAGAAATTAAATCTCGAAATTTCCGATTTTAGGAAGCAATTGCATCATGAGAGAAGCGCTGTCAGAGAATTGAGGTAATGGTTATGATTTGAGGATGTAGTTGAGGTTCCAAATCATTATATGACATTTGACATATCCATCAATCATTTACTAATTTATTTATTCCTTACTATTTACATTCACAAAACATTTAGAGCCACACATGACAGTGAATATCGGAAGTTAAAAAACGAGACGAAAAAGCTACTGGAAGTGATTGTAAATGTTAAGAAATCAGCAGCAAATAATTCAAATAAATACAAAACAGACATTTGTAAGCTCGCAGAGGAAATGACAGCATTAAAAGATGCCAAGAATGTACTTGAAAAGAAATTCAAAAACTGCAATTGTACATCCGCTGCTGCTATTACTTCCATGGTCATATCGAAAGGAAATAAAACAATTTCAAACATAAACGAACAAACAAAAGTCGATCAGATTACGGCAACGGCAAAGGCAGAAATCCAGAAACTGGTAAGTCACGATTAATATTTTTTTAAGCTATTTTGGAATAAGAATCATAATTCACATCGCTATAAATATGTTGGGAATGGAAGAATGGAATTTAGAATTGGATTTGAAGGGAATTGAATTTATGAAGGAACGAAATTAATTGAAGATTTGAACTTCTTTTATTTCGCATTTTCATCGTGTTGGACAGGATTGATCGATGAACTTTAGAATTAAGAGATTAATGGAATATGAAAGATGTGAGGTTATGTTTTTGAGACAGTTTGATTCGAAATAAAAATTCGATTTTCTCACAATTTGTGATCTCAATTAGTAAGTTTTGGTAATCATCGCCTATTATAGTGTTGATCTTATTGAAACAAAACTAAAATAAAACCGAGGAGGTCTCAAATATCAACCCTGAACTCACACTCTATATTCATACCCATTGTACCTTTTAACACTTCTCTTAAATCCATAAAAATTAAAACCAAAATTTTTTTATTAAAAGAAGAACTTCTTATAATCATAAACACCGGGACCAACGGAATATTCTGTGGAAATTTAATTCGCGGAATTTTATTTTATGTTGTTTAATTCTAACCTTCAAATAATTAAGTTTAAGAGCTGAAAGGTTCATATTTTGTTTCCAAATGAAACTTTAATAATTATTGCAAAGGTTGCAGTAATATTCTATTTAGATTTTAACCTACAAATGGTTAAGTTTTGGAGCTGAAAAGTTCAAATATTGTGGACAAATGAAACTTTAATAATTATTGCAAAGGTTTCAGTAATTAGGGGTTCTAAAATCGGGAATATTCCCAGGAATTCCCGTTTTCATACCAAAAAAACCGACAATTCAAATTAGTTTTTTTTTATTTTGTATTTTCCATGAAAAAAACTACAATTTAAAGAAAAAAATTATAATAATGGATATCAAAACTTATACGGTAAGGAATTTAAGAGTTGAAATATTAAACTCAAATTTGATGTTTTTTTAAATCAAAAACATATATTTATGAAAAACGAAGAGAAAAAGTATTTAAAAATATTTTTTTAAATGTATTATGTCCATAAAATAATTTTACTTAATTATTGATTCCTCAAAATATTAAGTCATGGAGACTTTCTATGGTTAAATTCTAGTTTACAAACTTATGCTGTGCGATAGCACAGCTGATCAATGAAGACTTTCAATGGTTAAATTCTAGTTTACAAACTTATGCTGTGCGACAGTACAGCTTATAGATAGATACTTTAAATAATTTTTTAAAACTAAAAAGTAGAAAATAAATACCTTATAAAAAAAACTTTTTAAAAAACCACTTTTTTACCCGTGGACTAAAAACAAGAAAATAACTTTTTTATTGGGTTCAAAGGATATTGGTTTGAAAAATTGAGATTTATTTGAAAGTTTTATACTAAAGTCATGACCATACATGAATTGCAAATTTGTTCACTTCGACCATATCGTATAGTTCTACATCTTAAAACGTGGCGCATTTTTATGAAATTTAAGCTCTCCAAATATACAATATTAATGAATGCGCCACGTTTTAAGATGTAGAACTATACGATATGGTCCAAGTGAACAAATTTGCAATTCATGTATGGTCATGACTTTAGTATAAAACTTTCAAATAAATCTCAATTTTTCAAACCAATATCCTTTGAACCCAATAAAAAAGTTATTTTCTTGTTTTTAGTCCACGGGTAAAAACGTGGTTTTTTAAAAAGTTTTTTTTATAAAGTATTTTTCTTCGATTGTGTTACTAAGTTACGCCAAAAGAATTGAAATAATTCTTTAATTAACCACTTTAAGCAAGAAAATTTCAGTCCATTAAGTAGAAAATGATGTTTTAAATGGCCTACGAAAAGCTTATTTGCAGTAGAATAGTCTAAAGATGTAAAAAATCAATTTGGAGAAAAATTTGTAGATAAATCGTTTGATGGAATCGCCCATAAGCTGTTTACTGGAACATGAAGAAATACCGTTTTTTTTTTTCAAAATTTTACCGAAACAAGATAATTAAATTCCAAATATCCGTTAAAAATGCTCAATTGTAAATAAATGTAAACAAACGATTGAAATTGACATGAATAGGAGCTGAATACACCCTTAATTAACGACAGAAAATGTTAAATCACAATCAGTCAAAAAAGATCAAATTTTTCAGCAACCTTTGACTTTCGATTTTTTCACAATTTTCTTCAGTTTAATTCTTTAAAGACGTGTTTTAAATATTGTTGCAAATCGGTGCAAATAAATTGGAACTTGACATTATTAATGCTTAAAAAGAAGTGGAGTTCAAGATAAAAGTGATAGTGAAGTGCTAAAATGGAAACAACTGTGAAAATTTGCCAAAAGTGATGAAAAAATTAAAAGTGAAGAAAAAATTAAAAGTGAAGAAAAAAATGAAAAATTTTCTGAGTGAACATTGAAAGTTAAGAAAATTAAATTCAAGAAGCTGTAAAATTGAAGTGAAAGTGAGATTGATGAAGCTTGAAGGAACCAGGACACAATTAAAGAAGCAAGAGGCTAGTGACAACGAAGAAAAAGCTAAGTATACTGATAAATAGGACATTCAAGGGCCACTTTAACTTAATTGATCTACGTCATCTGAAACACATTCAGATTTTCAAATTCCTTTTCTTTAATGAAACCAGCCATTTGACTTCCTGCAATTGCGTACGTAATGCTTGCAATACGTGAAATGATTACTTAAAAACGCATTGCATTGAGTTTTAAATTTCGTCAGCCTTTGTTGATGTAAATTAAGAGTGGGAGTCGTTGAATAGGTCAGAGGGGGGTCGATGCAAGATGAGGAGGGGTAAAACTTGAGGGAGCAAAGTCTTTTGACCCTTTTTTTAAAAAGTTTTTCTGTTCTTGTTTTTTTTTTTTTGTAAATCGAGCCTATGAGTCATGTGTTTCTGCCTGTGAGACTTACTATCGTGGCTTTTGATTGGTTCATCCTTGATGTAGAGTAGCATCAAGGACATTGATTGCTTGCTCGTAAATGAGACTTGCAATTTTTTGTCTAGATGCCTGTTCTCACACACAGCATTAGACTTACATCAGGTCCAATGACGTATCGTGTAGTTTAATGTGAAAAATGAGCCTCTGATGATTTGGGTTGTAATCAATAGAAGCTTAATTACAAGCGTCTAACTCTAACCCTAAATTGTGGTTCGTTTTCATGCTCAGGTGTGTGGTAAAGAACGTTTTTGCCTCTATCTCGGACTGTTCTGATTCAAAGCCTGAAATGTGAGCAGTAATGGAATGAAAACACGATTGATTCATTTCCTTGGTTGAAATTAAACTTGATATGATTAACTATGAAAGAATAACCATCAAAAAATTTGCTTTCTCAGTTTAATCTCTCCTTTATCTTGCATCAGCTTCTCCCTTACCTGTCCATCGACTTCCATCTTTAATTTACATCGAGAAAGAGCAAACGCAACGTAGAACTTAATGTTGTGTGATTTTATGTAATCATTTTACGTAACGTAGGCTTTACGTGAGCCTTTTTGAAAGTTTTTCTGACTAATTTCCAACAGAGAAAGTAAATTTGATATCATGAAACTTTAATTTAAACAGAAAATTTTAATTAAGAATTAAATTTATTTTGATTTTACTAATTCGTTTTTAAAATTGCCATATGGGTAATTCCATGAGTAATGAGAACTGTGAAAAAGCACTTTACAATATTTCTCTACTTGTAAAAATTCAAATTTCCCAAAACCGTTAAAATTTCTCAACGTTTTGTTGTTTATACAAGTGAATTAGCAGCAATATCATCAAAGAGAGATGGTTCAAATATATATGATCTTTAATGTTCTGAAACTTTAGTTACTTGCTCAATTAAATCAAATAAATCTAATAAACTTACAAGTAAAATCAAGAAAATCTAACGGTATTGTGAATTTGAAATTTTTTTCAGTGTTCTGTTTTGCAATAATCGGTCAAAAATTGACCGATTAATGCTAGTTTTTTTGGTTTTTCTTCTTAATTACAGCATTAAAGAATGCAAATTATACATAAAACAAAAGCCTGGCTAATATGTAATATGTTAAAAGTAACTTTGGAACATAGAAGTGTGTATTTAAGTAAATATTAGGAAATGTTTAGAAAACGATTTTTCTAAAACTTGACCGATTAATTTTACTTTTATTAAAAAAACAGAAATTAGACATATTTTTGATGTGAAATTCTCACATATGGAGATAAATATTGTGTTAATAAACATAATAAAGTTACAATTTGGAGTACAAACTTCTTAGTTAAGGAAATATTTTTGAAAAATTGGTGCATTAAAATTTTTTTCACTCATGGAATTACCCATATATTTTAGGTTCTTTAAGGATCAGCACTTAAAGCCATCATAAAACATTTCATATGTTGTGTTATTTTCTTCACATTTGAAAAATTACTCATCGTTCACACACAAGTAAGCACATAGTATGAATATTTGATACAAATTGGATTTATATAGACTTTTTTAACTGACAAACTACAGAAGAATTGTCTTGACGATGTCTTATTGTCTTGACGATGTCTTTTTGTCTTGACGATGGTCAATCATAGGGGTTCTAAAATCGGGAATATTCCCGGGAATTCCCGTTTTCATACCAAAAAAACCGACAATTCAAATTAGTTTTTTTTATTTTGTATTTTCCATGAAAAAAACTACAATTTAAAGAAAAAAATTATAATAATGAAAACATACGCTAAGGAATTTAAGAGTTGAAATATTAAACTCAAATTTGATGTTTTTTAAATCAAAAACATATATTTATGAAAAACGAAGAGAAAAAGTATTTAAAAATATTTTTTAAATGTATGATGTCCATAAAATAATAAACTTAATTGACATTCCCTAGCAGAAATTTACTAGTAATTTCCTAGTAATTTACTGGATAACTTTCCATTTGCTACTTGCTATTTACTAGTCAAAATCGAAGTTCAAACCATCGCCAAAGACCCGCACTTTCACTTGATAATTGACTAGTCAATTCGCTTACAATTTAACTAGTAATTTACTAGCAAATTTGTAAAAAATTTAAATGAATATTACCGTTGATTTCCACGTGTCTTTTTGATTTTTCTTATTTGTGTAAATTATTGTAAAAGTATTAGTGTGTACTTAGTTTAATTAATTAAAGTACACGAACACTATGAAAAAATAAATAAAAGATTTAATTTAATTAAGTCGAATACTGATGAACACCCAAACCTAAGGAAGATAAATAATTATTTGAAAGTCACATACAAATTTGGATCGACCTTATAAAGGTGATTTCTGTGCGCTCTTGTGAAGTATATGGCAAATGCCAAATTTAGAATAAAATTTTTTATGACGCAAAAAATTCTTTTTTTGATGATTTTTCGTAAGATTCGAACTTAAGCAGATTTGATCAAACATTTTATATGGTAATTTGCTAGTACTGGGGGTCCTCGATTTGAGTAGATTCTATTTGAGTAGATTCGATTTGAACAGAAAAATTTTTACCCACCAAAAATATTCGATTTGAGTAGATTTCTTCCTGTTTTCTTCGATTTGAACTGTTTACAAAACAAACATTTTTGATAAAAACATTTCAGAAAATATTTTTAAAACATAAATTTTACTGCAATAAGCGTGAACTTATCATATTGATAGAAAAATCAATACTAAAGTTACAAAATTAAAGTAAAAATTTAAAAAATCGCTATAAAATTCAAAAACCTTACAAATTGTTCAGTGAATTAACATTTGCAAGGTTCTCATATTTTTGTTTTGTTTCAAAAACATATTTTTTGTGAATTTCTGTTTAAAAACAATATGAATGTGCCTTGAAATAAATTAAGTTATCTAAAACACATAGGAAAAGTTAAGCAACGAGGTAAAATGTGCAAAAAATGATCAAAATTTTCATTGTTTTGATATATTTTTTGGACTGTGGAACAAAACATGTAATTTTGTATTGATTCTTTGCCTCGATTTGAATAGATTCGATTTGAGTAGAAATTTTTTGGAACAAAACAACTACTCAAATCGAGGACCCCCAGTAAATAGCAAGTGTAATTTATTAACAGTAAGTTGTTTTAATAATAACTAGTAAATTGCAAGTTGTAGAATAGAAAGACTAGCAATTTGCTAGTTAGTCTCGCTAGGGATTGGATTAAAGTAATTTTTCCAAAAAAAAACGTGATTGAAATTAATATTTCTGGAAACCACCAACATCTACAAGAGCTGAACGTAACTTTTCAATCTCCAATAATATTGTCTCAAAAAATCGCAGTAGATTGCTAGACCAGTTAAAATCGTACTTTAAGAATTGTTCTAATACCAAAAAGAATTGAATTTCAAACGGAAATTATTGTCAAAAGAATCAATTTGACAATCAAATCAAATAGAAATGAAATTTGATTTAAAAACCTAAATAAAAAACATAGTGTAAGTGTAGCTTTTAACTTTTTTTTTGTTGATTCCCGGGAATATTCCCGTTCCCGGACATTATTCCCGTTCCCGTTCCCGATTCCCGAAATCTTACGGGAACGGGAATTCTGGAACCCCTAGCAGTAATATTCTATTTAGAGTATAACTTACAAATGGTTAAGTTGTGCAACTATAAGGTTCAAATTTTGTGGGCAAATGAAACTTTAATAATTATTGCAAAGGTTTCAGTAATATTCTATATAGATTATAACCTACAAATGGTTAAGTTTTGGAGCTAAAAGGTTAAAATTTTGTGGTCCAATGCCACTTTAAAAATTATTGAGATAGAAAGTTCCTCGGAATATTCCGTCGGTTACATGCTCCTTCACGAAGAACACTAATCTCACTCATTTTTGTCAGTGAATCTACGCATAAGGAAGAATTGTAAAGAATTCCATTTGGTAATATCAAAAAAGGTTTTGGAAATAAAAAAAAGTTTAGATTAAAATTGTTATGAGAACTTTTATTCACACAAAAAAAATTTTGGCAGTTGAGTCTTAATAATTAGGTTATTGGCTTAAAATTGGGATGTGAAGATTTGTTGATGATCAGTTGTACTATTGAATCAGTTGAACTATTAATAACGATAATTCAAGTAGTCATAAATCTAATACCAATTTTGGGATTAGAAAGTTAAAGGTACAGTAAGTAACACATATTCTTGTTGGATACTCCCAATCGGTCCCAATCTTGGCTTTATGCTGGCTTATACTTATTATTTTGTCGTAAATCAACCATCGGAATTTTGGATGCTTGGATAAAAACTAAAACTTAACAATTTGATCTCAAACAGTTTCATCATTATCGATTCCATGCTTCATCCTGTTTATCTAAAGGCTTCACTTATTCTTAATCAATTCTTCTTGCCTATAAGCCCTCCTTCTCCTCCCATTTCCTCTTATCAAACTATCCATATTACCTGCATGCTTCCTAAATGATCATAATGAATGATTTTTCTATCATAATTATTACTTCAGGCCAATAAATATCGTTTCATTACTTTATTACCTTATTACGGAGGAAACGACTCCCAAGCAATTGTTATGATTTGCAAGAGTATAAAGCAGGAAGCGTGAAATAAAAATTCTACGTAACACAAAGAGACGCCTTCTGGTATTAACACGATATCATAACTTAGATTGCATGTGATACTTTGCGAAATTGTGTGCATTGATAGACTAAGTTGTGTAATTTTATTATTGTTTGGGATTGGAGGTTTTGTGGATTATTCAAGTGGATTAGAGGACAACTGTTATGAATTGATGGCATACCAGGACTCAGGGGCGTAGCCAGAAAATTTTTAAGGGGGGCCCATTTTCGAAAATTAAAAAACCGTTATTTTGTATCCTTAAATCTATATTCATTCTTCATAAGTTTAAATATTTAATTCATTATTCATACATTAAATTTAATTTTTCGTGGTGAGTTTGAAATTTCTTTCATCACTTCCTCTACATTAACTGGTTCTTCTCTATAAATACTTAATAAAACAATTATCAGATTTTCGGAGAGGGGCCCAGGCCCCCTATGGCCCCCCTGGCTACGCCCCTGCCAGGACTGATGGATGTAGTTGATATTTATTATCAACTCAGGTAGCTACCTAGACTAGATAACTAAGTTGTAAAGTACGTAACTTACCTACACGAGCTAGTCTTTAATTATGATTCTTCAATAATTTTACAAACTACAGCAAAACAAAGTATTATTCATTTGATCAATTACTAATCTTAAAATGCCAAGTTGTAGTGCACAACAAGCTTTAGTCATGAATTGACCCCCAGACTATACAAATAAAGAGGTCAAAGAAGGGTTTTCTATGACTAATTCACTTTTATTCTCCAAACCAACAATTCGACTTAAATCAGTCAATTTTTCATGATCAAAACATTTAACTCAGTCAGGTTCAACAAACAAAACCAAAGCACAGCATAATCAGCATGCGAAAAGCTAATCAATTCAACTTGTCAAACTCACTCATTTATTTTTCACATGATAGTTTAAAAGACCTCCTTTCCTTAACCGTTGACACAGAGAGGTCAATGTTCAAAATAATAATTTACAATAGAGTCCATTGAAGCCTATGAGTCTTGCGCTCATTCATCGTTCGTATGCGAATAAAGTCAATCTCATTAATATTATTAATATCAACATTAACATGTGCATTGTAAGCAATACCATAATTGAAAAATGTTAACGTCCAAGCACAAGAAGAAAGAGACTCTCGGGACATACCCAATTTGTTACGGTCACTTCTCAAGTCACTTTAATCATTTACAACAGATTTAAATTTCTATCACGTTACATATTAATCAGCTGAAGTTAAAGGTCATTATTTCGTAATGGAAATATCCATATCAACATGAATACTTTCTTTAATCTTATTACGTTACATCATACTGCAACATTTCTACATTTCTGTACGGTAAAAGGCTTTCTTTTGATAATAAGACGGGATTACAGAAATTGAAGTGGGATTAAAATTAAATTTTCATATTCCAAACATGCTCAATATAGTTCAAAATGATTTATTTTATTGTAAAAAAAAATCAAATTTAAATTTGTGGGATCAAAATTTGATGAAAAAAAATCTGAGATTTAAATTGACACAGCTGATTGAAAATAGAAATTGTTTATTAAATAATCAAATGACTTGTCCATGTGAAGTGGTATTATGATAATCACATCAAGCTATCTAAAAGTGGCTTTATGATGATCCTACAAATTGACGAAGATAGTGAATGAATGTACTTGTAATGAAGACTTATTTATAATAAGTTGAAGATGGGAACTCCATTAAGTAGTTTTGCACTAAATTTAATGCGATTTTAAAGTAATTTGTTCAATTTAGTCGCATTTTGAAGAGCTTTAAAGTAATTAAAACTTTTCTACAAAATATCAATGGATCACAAAGAATTAAATTTAATTTTTTTGGAAGTAAAATCAGTGAAAGTTTTTTATGTTTAAAGTGTCATAAAGCTCAAGATTTAAAACTAGATCTTTTAAAAAATTTGTTTAAAAACTCTAGTTTTTAATAAAACACGGATATCTACTTAAGTTTAACATCAAAGAATGCATAAGCAACCTTTGTTTAAATAAACATTTAAGAATCAAAATAAATTTCTGTTCAAATATTCACGAACCAAAAGAAAAATTCAAAAATTTATCTCAACGTACAAAATTTTCAATTCCACGATTTATCATCCGAAACAAATTCATGACAATATTTCGACTTAAAAATCTGAGTCACCTCCACTTTAGATGTAATAAAAAAATCATATTCAAATACTTTAATATATTTAAGTAAACTAATGTAATTCACCTCTCAATCTGGTTTTATTTCTACTTCAAGAAATGTAAATAAAGATTTTGAGCCGTCAAAAATATAAAATGCGCAATTCCCATAAACCAATTCCGATGCATGCATTATTCAACTTTATTAACCTTTTTTTTTGTCTTCGTCTTCTTCTTATCTTTATAGCTTGAAGAATTAAAATCAAAAGAACGAGAAGTTTCCAGCATGAAGAAGCAAATAAAGAAGAATGAATCTCAGGTGAGTGATTTTTTTTTCTCTTTCATTCATAACATACATTTCAGTCGTGGATTGTCGGCGCATATTTCATTCATTTCCATCTTTATTCTTTTAAAGCATATTCAGTTTCAATATTTTTTTCTTGTGTTATTATGAGTCAATGTCTCTCGGTTATTTCTTAAGATTTAAGAGAGTCTTGTTGTGGTTTCTGTTATGTTAAGTCTCTTAGAAGTTGTGGCTGTTCTCTCCGCGCCTTAAAAAAAAATAAAGAGACTGAAATAACATAAAATAACAGAGAATAAGTCACGAATGAGAGATAGAGAGGAACTGTTAAAGAAAAGAAACAAGCCACAAGTTGCTTGATCGAAAATTTCGGAATTCAGTCGTGAATTTGAGGTAGATTGAGAAAGGTGGAAATAAGAAACGGTTTTGAAAAGTGCGCATAGGCAATAAAAATAATTTTTATGCTGTCTCTCGCTTCTTATTTTGTTGTTATTGGAAGTGAATAAAGAGATATAAACAAGTACTTTAGTGCGGTGAAAGAACTGACCATTTATGAATAGGTTGAAAAGGAAAGAAGGCGAATAAAAATTAGAAATTGAAGCTTTTTGAATGCATAGTGTCAATAGTTCACGTTTTGATTGTCGATGCGGTCGAGTGAAAATTAGAAAACTTTGTTGTTTGGCTGTAGAATTTTCGAAAGCCTTATTGCTTTGATTCGATGGTGGCACAACACTGGCCCACCCAAAAAAATCGTGAATTCATGTCACAAATAATTGAACTCTTTTGCAAAATAATTAATTAAGTATTCATAAAATTGTGTCAAACAATTGGACAAAAAAAAAATTGAAATAATTAAAGACTTACCAAAAATAGATGGACAATTGCCGCAATAGACACACAAAGAAAAGCTTGCGAGTTTGTGAAATTTTTTTATTGAAAATCATTGCAATGAAATTTGAACCTTACGAGGTGCACGAAGTGAACAAATTTTAAGTGTAGAAAGTGAAGAACTGAATGGAATTTTTTTGACGAAAATTTTTGTTGAATGGACGGATCATTTTCTGCTGAGTGCACATCTTTTTGTGTTGATAATTGAGGAAATTTTTTTTAAGTTTTCGTGAGGAATTGATATCGTTTATGGATTATGTAATTTTAGAGTGTAAAAACATTTTTTGAGAAACTTTAAAAATTACAAAATATTTTTAAAATTTGTGAAAATTTGAAGAAATTGAAAAAAAATAGTTTTTTAAACAGTTTTGTGAACCAAAAATTCAAAAAAGAAATTTAAAACTGAGCAATTAGAACTGGACAGAAATAAAAAGCTAACAACTTATTAAAGTGACAAAACCGTGCGACGATAAAATCAAAATTTTAACAAATCAGCTTTGAAGTCATCAGAAAGTTTCCACCTGTTTTCAAATGGATTTCTAAATCACGAAGATTTTACAGGAATTTTTAAAATAAGGTAGAAATTTTTCACTTTTGGTGGTTGGATTTAAAATTGTCAAAAATTGTATCAATAGTCAAGATCTAATAATTTGGAGTCTTTGCTCCTCAAAACTTTTCGCTGAATTATTCTACATTCTGACAAATTTTTTAATGATTTGATAAAAATAATGCTTGAAGAGCTCAGCCTTTTGAAGCTCAGCTGAAGGCATTGGGACTGTAAATCTATTGTCCCACATCCTTTAGACCTACAATCAGGGGAATTTGAAGAGGGGGGATTTTATATGGAAAATTAAGAGGGAAGGGGGGATTTTTATGATTTTTTTATAAAACTCCTAGCAAAATGAAAAAATTTCTGTTAACGTCGGCTGATTTGTCCCCTTAATCCCACCCCTGGTTACGCGCCTGCCTACAATTTATAGTGGAATCCGAACCATTTGCATGATTTGCTCAAAGAACTTCAAAAAAGTTGTAAAAAACTTGAATATTTTGTAGGGTCGTTTGCTAATGATGTTTTACATTTATGGGAGGAGGAAAGAGGGGGTTTAAAAATCATATTTTTTTTTCATTTTAATTGCACTTTATTGCATTTATTGACGACATACTGTCCGGTATATTTATTTGCTAGACGTCAAAAGTAAACGACTTTAACCAAATTCTGATCGAGGGTCTGATTCTGGGGAAATCTATCTTTGGATTCAAATTTGATGAACTGGGGGCCCTCGATTTGAGTAGTTTTTTTTTTTGTTCCAGAAAAATCCTGTTTAAATAAAAACTCCTGAAATTGAATTATTTACTTGAGTCTGTAACGTGTCTGTAACAAATTTTTTTTTAATTTTTGTAACTCAATCGAACCTATTCAAATCAAACCTACTCAAATTGAGGACCACTAGTACTTTAATATAGGATATAAATGAAATTTTTCTGAGAATAGCGTTAGGTGATCTGGGGAGCAACTTAGTGATTTTACATTTGATCTTTGAAACCCTGGTTTCGAGTAACATTTCGGTAACGAGAAGCTTTCTGTAAATCAATTACTTTTCAATCATTTTTGATCAGAATTATGACCTTATTAGAACAAATAGGGTCACAACACAAACATGATTGAATAAAAAGTTTCTCTTATCTAAGAAGTAGAATGGACAAAACCTCGTGAAGATTTAAATATTTTTAATTGAAAAATCATGACAGAATTAAACAATTTTTTTGTTTTGACTTATTTTGGATGAGAGTTCCTTTCTGGCAACAAAAAATTTGACTGCAAAAGCAGGATTTCCACTTACAGTTCAGACTTGCATTCCAAACTTACCAAATAAACCCAAAAAAGCCTTTCATCAAATCATAATCGCTCATAAAAGTTCAATAAACTCTGACATTCAAATCCTTCAGTCAACTCCCCCCAAAAAGTAAAAGGTTTCCAAAAAAATTTAAATGCAGAAACTCGAGAGAGAAAAAAAAATCGCACGTAAAAAACATTTCCTTTAAGTCTTTCATCTTCAATCCTCACAGCAATTCAGCATCAATTAGAGAGACTGATGTTAATAAAATTAAAAGGCAGAATGTACAAAAATCATAAGCGGCAAATGGCACATGTAGAAAAGCTACAATAATTTCTTATAACACTTTGTAACGTGCAATTTATTTATTTTCATAAATTTTTCACTCTCCGTCCTCTAAAGTCGTGTGTAAAGTGGAAGAAATCGAACCTGACGAATATGTATATGTACATGAAAAATATCTTAAGACACTGCCTCGAAGCGCACAGCATTTATCGTCAATTTCATTCCGTTTTTTTTTGTTACTATTATAAAAAAAAATAAGGTACCTTCAGTGGAATCCAAAAGGAATTGGAGGAGAAAGTCCATGCGCTGATATGTTGTTCGGTGTTTCCCATATATCGTTCGCTCTTTTTTGGTTATTTTTATGTATGTGACTGACTGACTGAATGAATATGTATGTGATATACGAAAGTGAAATTTACCCAAAAAAAATTATAGCAACATAAAGAGGAAGAAGAAATTATTCATAATAAGTGGAAAGCTAATGGGTGCCTACAACAATGTAGACCGTTATTTTTTCTAAAATTCAAACCTGTTTCGAAAAAATTCGAAAAATAATTTTTTATAAAAAATTTTGAAATTTTAAAGACCGTTAAATTTATTTATGAACAAAAATCAATTCTTCGACGCAAATTTGTTTTTTGAATGTAGCAATCGACAATGAAGCTCAAGTTTTGATCGAAAAGTTACAAAAAATAATATTAAATTTTCAATAGTCTTTGAACAATGCTCAAATGGAATTTCAACCTGACTAAGAACAATATCTGAAAATTTTGTCTTGAATGTGTTACAATCACTTACAGCAGAAATCTCACTTCCTTCGACACTTATGTTGTTTGATTTTAAAAATAACAACCATTTATCTTTGTTTAATGAGTGCTTAGGTACTTTAAAAAGATTTGTAATTGTTTTATTTTTGTTGCAGCTTGCAATTTTGCAGGTTTTACCCATAAGTAATGAAAAATAATCAAAATTTTACTGATGTAAACAAATATAATTTTTTGATGAAATATTTTTAACGGAATTTCATTTTTTGAAAAAATTTCAAATTCGAATTTTCGATTTCGAAGAATAAGGACCATTTTCGAAGAATAAGAACCATCGGCACCCATTGGGTGGAAAGAAATAAAAAGAAAATAAAGAAAAAGAGATCTCGATAATATCTCGGCTCATTCATTGTTATATTAAGCATGCTTAAAACACATATGAATTTTATATGATGAAGAAAATCAATCGAAGTTCGGTGATTAAGGCGATTTTTACGAGTAGCTGATGATAATATGATGAAAATTTTTAAAGATCCAAGTTGGGAGTTGAGAGGTTAATGAGGCTGAATTGATTACCGAGTCAAGTTCCAAGAAATTTAAGGCTTTATTATTGTTTTACGGCTTTTAATGGTTTTTATGAACTTTATAATTGATGCAGTAGCAAAAAACATGAATTGAGTAGTCGTAAGAAGTGGAACTTAAAGACTTGAACTTATGATTTAACCTAGAATCAATGACTATTTGCCAAGACCTCATGAAGGTGTTCTTTTTTAGAGTAACAGGGTAGGGAAGTGTATGAAAGTCACATTTTTTAAGGACCAACTCAAAAATGATCAATGCCTTGTCTATTATTTTTAACTAAGCTATTAGGGGCGACCGGACCACAAAACTTCAAATGGCTTCACAAACCCCCTCAAACTGCGACCCACTTAACTCTTCACCTGACACCTACCAAATGCCCAATCCTCATATTTTTGGCTTTACACGACTTCACAAATGGCTTCGCACAGATTCCGTTCTAGAGTCAGGGAGGGAATTGGGTGTTTATATTATAGATATTTTGTGATTTAGCTAGGTTTAGATCAACTTGATATAGGTAGGGTTACCATCTAATTTTCATGAAAATACAGGACTTTTGGTAAATTTTTTCGAAAAATACAGGACATAGAGTAAAATTCGAAAATTAACGGAAATTCTCGTGAAAAAAATACAGGACCTGGAACAAAGTTTTCAAATTTATACAGGA